TGTGTATCTTCCTTGAAAAATGTTCAAATCCTCTGCCCAATTTTTGATCAGATTGCTTGTTTTGTTTTTGTTGAGTTGTATGTATTCTTTATATTTTTTGGAGACTAAACTCTTGTCAGATATATGATTTGCAAATGTTTTCTCCCAGTTGTCAGGTCATCTTTTCATTTTGCTCATGGTTTCCTTTGCCTTGCAGAAGATTTTTAGTCTGATGTAGTCCCATTTGTTAATTTTTCCCTTTGTTTCCCTTGCTTGAGTAGATGTGGTATTCAAAAAGATGCTGTGAAGACCAATGTCAAAGAGTGTACTGCTTATATTTTCTTCTTTCGGTTTTATGGTTTCATGTCTTACATTCGAGTCTTTAACTCATTTGGAGTTAATTTGTTTTCAGCTTATTCCTATGTATTTTATTCTTTTAGTTTCAATTGTATTCTTAATTTCTCTATCTGCTGCTTCATTGATAGTATATAGAAATGCAACTGATTTTTGTATGTTGATTTTGTTTCCTGCCACTTTACCGTATTCATTTATTATTTCTAAAACTTTTTTGGTGGATTCTTTAGGGTTTTCTATAAATGAAATCGTGTCATCTGCAAATAGTGACAGTTTCACTTCTTCCTTTCCAATTTCACTTCCTTCCTTCCTTTCCTTTCCTTTTATTTCTTTTTCTTGCCTGATTGCTCTGGCTGAGACTTCCAATACTATATTAAATAAGAGCAGTGGCAGTGGGCATCCTTGTCTGGTTCCTGTTCCTGCAGGGATAGTTTTCAGTTTTTCTCCATTGAGAATGACATTAGCTGTGAGTTTGACACATATGGCCTTTATTATGTTGAGTAGTTTCCTTCTATCCACATTTCGTTCAGAGTTTCTATCATCAATGGATGCTGTATCTTGTCAAATGCTTTCTCTGCATCTATAGAGGTGATTATGTGATTTTTATCCTTCACTTTGATAATGTGATGTATCACGTTGATTGAATTGCAGATGTTGAGCCATCCTGCATCCCTGGAATAAATCCCACTTGATCATGGGGTATGATCTTTTAAATGTATTGTTGTATTTGATTTACTAGTATTTTGTTGAGGATTTTTGCATAGATGTTCATCAGTGATACTGGCTTTTAATTTTCTTTCTTTTGTGTTGTCCTTGTCTGGTTTTGGTATCAGGGTAATGTTGGCATCATAGAATGAGTTAGGAAGCTCCCCCTCCTCTTCAATTTTTTCGAAGAGTTTGAAAAGGATAGGTATTACATCTTCTTTGAATGTTTGGTAGAATTCACTAGGGAAGCCATCTGGTCTTGGACTTTTCTTTTGGGGGAGGTTTTTGATTACTGTTTTGATCTCCTTCCTCGTGGTTGGTCTATTCCAATTCTCTAGTTTTTCTTGATTCACTTTTGGAAGGTTGTAAGATTCTAAGAATCGACCCTTTTCTTCTAGATTATCCAATTTGTTGGCATATAGCTTTTCATAGTATCCTCTTATAATCTTTTGTATTTCCGAGGTGTCTGTCGTAATTTGTCCTCTTTCAGTTCTGATTTTTTTAATTTGAGCCTTCTCTCTTTTTTCCTTGGTGAGTCTAGTTAGAGGTTTGTCAATTTTGTTTATCTTTTCAAAGAACCAGCTCTGGATTTCATTGATTTTTTTCTATTGTTTTTTATTCTATATTTCATTTATTTCTGCTCTGAATTTATTATTTCATTCTTTCTACTGAATTTAGGCCTGGTTCTTCTTTTTCCAGTTCCTTTAGGTGCACTGTTAGATGGTTTATTTGAGATTTTTCTTGTTTGTTGAGGTAGGCCTGTATTGCTATAAACTTCCCTCTTAGAACTACTTTTGCTGTATCCTATAAATTTTCCATGTTATGTTTTTGGTTTCATTTGTCTCCAGGTACTTTTTTATTTCTCCTTTGATGTTTTTCATTGACCCAATCGTTCAGTAGCAGTTTGTTTAGTCACCACATATTTGTGTCTTTTCTGATTTTCTTCCTGTAGTTGATTTCTAGTTTCATGCTGTTGTGATCAGAAAAGATGCTTGTTATTATTTCAGTCTTCTGAAATTTGTTGAGTCTTGTTTGCAGTCTAATATGTGATAAGTCCTGGAGAATGTTCCATGTACATTTAAAAAGAATGTGTATTCTGTGGTTTTTGGATGGAATGTTCTGTAGATGTCTACTAATTCCACCTGGTCTATGGTATTGTTTAACAGCACTGTTTCCTATTGATCTTCTGTTTGGATGACCTATCCATTGCTGGAAGTCATGTTAAAGTCCCCTATTATTGTTGCTGTCTATTTCTCCTTTCATTTCTGTTAATAATTGCTTTATTTATTTAGGTGCTCCTATGTTGAGTGCATAGATATTTATAAGTGTTATATCTTCTTCTTGGGTTTTTCCCTTTATCATTATGTAGTTACCTTCTTTGTCTCTTGGTACCATTTTTGTTTGAAAGACTGTTTTGCCTGATATCCGTATTGCTACCCCAACTTTCTTTCACTGCTGTTTGCACAGAGTATCATTTTCCATCCCTTCACTTTCAGTTTGTGAGTGTGGTTAGGTCTGAAGTGTCTCTCTTGTAGGTAGCTTATATATGGGTCTTGTTTTCGTCCAACAGGCCACCCTATGCCTTCTGATTGGAGCATTTAGTCTGTTGACATTTAAAGTAGCTATTGATAAGTATGTTCTTGCCTTCTTGTTACTTTTTTTCTGGTTGTTTCAGTAGTTCTTCTCTGTTCCTTTCTTCTTCTCTTGCTGTCTTCTGTTGTGGTTTGGTGTCTTTTTTAGTATTATGTTTGGGTTTCTGTCCTTAATTTTCTGTTTCTGATTCTATTGGTTTCTGGTTTGTGATTCCCACGAAGTTCATGTGTAACATCTTAGGTATATAGCAATATATCTGAAGCTGATGTTCTCTTTAGTTTGACCTCTTCTAAAAGCTCTACTCTTCTACTCTGCTCCTCCCACATTTTATGTTTTTTATATCACATCTAACCGGTTTTTTGTGCATCTGTATCCATTACTCTCTTATCATAGATATAGGTAATTTTCATACTTTTGTCTTTTGCCCTTCTTATTATCTTCATAGGTGATTGATCTGCTACCTTTACTGTATTTTTGCCTGTACCAGTGATTTTATTGCTTTTTTGGGGGTAAATTTCTTATTCCTATCTGTGGTCTTCTCTTTCCCAGTTAAATAAGTCCCTGTATCATTTTTTGTAAGACGTTTCTTGGTGATAAAGTCCCTTAATTTTTGCTTGTCTGGGAAACTCTCTCTCCTTTCATTCTAAACGATAACCTTGCCAAGTAGAGTATTCTTGGCTGTAGGTTTTTCCCTTTCAGCACTTAAAAATAATGTGCCACTCCCTTCTAGCCTGTAATGTTTCTGCTTAGAGGTCAGCTGATAGCCTTATGTGATTTCCTTTGTATCAACTTGTTGCCTTCTCTTGCAGCTTTTAGGAGTCTCGCTTTATCTTTAATTCTTCACATTTTAATTGTAATGTATCTTGGTGTGAGCCTCTTTGGGTTTCTCTTGTTTGGTGCTCTGTGTGTTTCCTGTACCTGGATGTCTGTTTCCTTCCTTACGTTAGGAAAGTTTTCAGCTGTTATTTCTTCAAATAAATCCTCTGCCCCTTTCTCTCTCTCTTCTCCTTCTAGGACACTTAAAATATGAATGTTAGCGTGCTTGATGTTGTCCCACAGGTCCCATAGACTTTCCTCGTTCTTGTTAATTCTTTTTTCTATTATCTGTACAGCTTGAGTGATTTCGTCTATTCTTTTCTTTAAAAGTTTCATACAATGTTCATAGGGCAGCTGGAATTTTCCCAGGCTTAAATTTGAGTAAAAGCACTCCTCTGAATTCCAATTATTGGGGCATCATTTAAAATTTTTCCTAAGAGTTAATTAGCTTTTAAAATATATTCACAGTTTTCCATATTCTGACTCACAGTGATAATAGGTAGGGCCACTTGCAGGTCCTACATATGTAGGATAATATGTAGGATAATATGTAGGGTGTGCCCAGGTGAAGAAATATTTTTGCTCTTTAAAACTGGGTTGTTGTTTTAAAATATTTTGTATCAATATGTCAGACAAGTAAATCTTTAAATGAAAAACCTATAATCAGGTAAGTTTGACCATTGTCATAGTCACGGTCATAGCCTGGGAAAGTCAGACTTTAGAGATGGAACACAAAGCATAAAAAGGGAGCTTATTGTATGCTCATCAGAAAAGAAAACATTAAAACTAATCAACAATATTCTGAAACAAATAGCCACAAATTCTGAAAAACATAGCCACACTCAGATTTTCATCGTGTTATTCAGCCATTTGTCATGAATTCTCATTCTGTCAACCCTGGCTCCACAATCTATATTCCTGAAGTCATCTGTTCCCAGCCTTTGTAGTCCTGGAGTCCTGAGTGTCAGGTCCCTTGGTGTCTGCTCTGATGGTCATGTCTTAGCTTCTTCTAAGAAGGGTATAAGCACGGGTCTCTTCCCTGTATCCCCTTCTCAGGCTGTCCTTCTCTGATGTTCCAGAAGACCCAATCTCTGGTCTGTAGCTTCTAGCAATGACCTTCAGTCAAAAATGAAGGGAGCAGAGAAACCACGTTTTGATGCCAAGGCAGGTTAGCTTATTAGAGTACTCTGTCAGAATGGAGGAGGTTGGAATCTCTATTGGGGTGAGGTAGATAAGTGCATGGGTTCCCATAATTATTTCAGGAAGACTCCACTGATAATTAACTTGAGGAGATAATGTATTAGTGTACAGTGAAAACACAGACTAATCCTTATTTAAAGTGTGTGCCACAATTGCTGCCAATTCACATGAGTGTTTTAAACCAAGAAATAAAACACTTCCAGAGGCCAATTGATTAACATTCTTTGTGTTGGGCCATGCACTTGAATTCGAGTGTGCTTTTCTCCACCTTGCAGGGGTACCCAAATTTTTGAAAGCTTATTCATATTGGTTAACAAGCCCAAACACAGGTTTGTTTACCTGCCACACTATAGGACCAAGAAGGAAAAAAGCTGAAACACCAGGCTTGTGTCAAGGAAAGAGATTTACTATCAAAAGGCAACCAGATGAGCAGATGGGAGTTAGAACTCAGATCCATCTCCTCCAAAGGAAAAAGGTAGGGGTTTTTTTTGTTTGTTTGTTTGTTTATTAATGTTATGATAGATTACAACCTTGTGAGATTTCAGTTGTACATTTTTGTTAGTCATGTTGTGGGTACACCACTTCCCCCTTTGTGCCCTCCCCCCAGCCCCCCTTTTCCCTGGTAACTACCGATCAGATCTCCTTATCAATATATTAACTTCCACCTATGAGTGGAGTCATATAGAGTTCGTCTTTCTCTGACTGGCTTATTTCGCTTAACATAATACCCTCGAGGTCCATCCACATTGCTGTGAATGGGCCAATTTTGTCTTTTTTATGGCTGAGTCGTATTCCATTGTGTATATATACCACATCTTCTTTATCCAATCATCAGTTTCTGGGCATGTAGGTTGGTTCCACGTCTTGGCTATTGTAAATAATGCTGCGATGAACATAGGGGTGCAACGGACTCTTGAGATTTCTGATTTCAGGTTCTTAGGATAGATACCCAGTAATGGGATGGCTGGGTCATAGGGTATTTCTATTTTTAACTTTTTGAGAAATCTCCATACTGTTTTCCATAGTGGCTGTACCAGTTTGCATTCCCACCAACAGTGTATGAGGGTTCCTTTTTCTCCACAACCTCTCCAACATTTGTCGCTCTTGGTTTGGGATGTTTTTGCCAATCTAACGGGTGTAAGGTGATATCTTAGTGTAGTTTTGATTTGCATTTCCCTGATGATTAGTGATGATGAACATCTTTTCATGTGTCTATTGGCCATATTCATATCTTCTTTTGAGAAATGTCTGTTCATGTCCTCTGCCCATTTTTTGATCGGGTTGTTTGTTTTTTTGTTGTTAAGCAGTGTGAGTTCTTTGTATATTATGGAGATTAACCCTTTGTCGGATAAGTGGCTTGTAAATATTTTTTCCCAATTAGTGAGCTGTTTTTTTGTTTCAATCCTGTTTTCCCTTGCCTTGAAGAAGCTCTTTAGTCTAATGAAGTCCCATTTGTTTATTCTTTCTATTGTTTCCCTCAACTGGGGAGTTATAGTGTCCGAAAAGATTCTTTTGAAACTGATGTCAAAGAGTGTACTGCCTATATTCTCTTCCAAAAGACTTATTGTCTCAGGCCTAATCTTTAGGTCTTTGATCCATTTTGAGTTTATTTTGGTGTGTGGTGAAAAAGAATGGTCAATTTTCAATCTTTTGCATGTGGCTGTCCAGTTTTCCCAGCACCATTTGTTGAAGAGACTTTCTTTTCTCCATTGTAGGCCCCCTGCTCCTTTGTCGAAGATTAGCTGTCCATAGATGTGTGGTTTTATCTCTGGGCTTTCAATTCTGTTCCATTGAAAGGTAGGGGTTTTTATCTGGGGTTTTAGGTAGGCAAAGGAGAGCATGTGCTGGGGTTTTAAGTAGGGGAAGGGGAGCATGTGGCCATGTTAGTTGGCACCCTCCCACAAGCCTGTGTTTGGCCTTGAAGAGTGAATTTCTTTTTCCTTGATTGTCTGGATTTTTCTGGTTAGTTTTCTTCTTCAGCTTGTGTTTGGCCTTGTGAGCTGAATCTTGATGTCAGGACCTGACTTTCTTGGAAAGACAGCTCACTCACATACTAAGGAGCAACAGAAAGACCTGGTTAGATTTAAACAAGAATTGATTATGCTGAATATGCACAGCTGCAGTCAGCAAAGCTTCTGTCGAAGTTTTTGCTCTAGGAAAGATTTTCTAACTTCTTGTACAATTTCTTTTCTTTTCTTTTTTTTATTGAGTTATTGATAGGTTACAATCTTGTGAAATTTCAATTGTACATTAATGTTTGTCAGTCATGTTGAAGGTGCACCACTTCACCCTTTGTGCCCACCCCCCACCCCACCTTTCCCCTGGTATCCACTAAACAGTTCTTGGTCCATAGTTTTAAATTCCTCATATGAGTGGAGTCATACACAGATTATCTTTCTCTTGCTGGCTTATTTCACTTAACATAATTCTCTCAAGGTCCATCCATGTTATTGCAAATAGAATGATTTTGTTCTGTTTTGCAGCTGAGTAGTATTCCATTGTATATATGTACCACATCTTCTTTATCCATTCGTCTGTTGATGGGCACTTAGGTTGCTTCCACGTCTTGGCTATTGTAAACAGTGCTGCAATAAACATTGGGGTGCACAGGACTTTTGGGATTGCTGACTTCAGGCTCTTTGGATAAATACCCAGTAGTGGGATGGCTGGATCGTATGGTAGTTCTATTTTTAGTTTTTTGAGGAATCTCCATACTGTTTTCCATAGTGGCTGCACCAGTTTGCATTCCCACCAGCAGTGTATGAGGGTTCCTTTTTCTCTGCAACCTCTCCAACATTTGTTGCTATTAGTTTTAGATATTTTTGTCATTCTAACAGGTGTAAGGTGATATCTTAGTGTAGTTTTGATTCGCATTTCCCTGATGACCAGCGATGATGAG